GGTATGTACATATCAAAACTAATGAATGAAATAAGGCAACCTGAGGGCTGAGTGAATGGCAGTAGCATGGAACGCAGAAGGGGAAAAGTATTGGTGAATTCTGGGAAGGAATTAGCTGGCAGGAGACTCAAAATACACATTTAATCCAAATTGGAAAATATAAGTCATGAGCCTTGGTTAAAAAATATTTCATAATAAATTATCCTAGATAAGATATTACTTTAAAGATTTTGTTTTATTGATTCATCATATTTGTACATATTTATGAGGTACCTGTGTTTTTTTTTGAGGTAGAGTTTTGCTCTTGTTGCCCAGGCTGGAGTGCAATGGTGAGATCTTGGCTCACTGCAACCTCCACCTCCAAGGCTCAGGTGATTCTCCTGCTTCAACCTCCTGAGTGGCTGGAATTACAGGCACGTACTACCACGCCTGGCTAATTTTGTATTTTTAGTAGAGATGGGGTTTCTCCATGTTGGTCAGGCTGGTCTCAAACTCCCGACCTCAGGTGATCTGCCCGCCTGGGTCTCCCAAAGTGCTGGGATTACAGGCGTGAGCCACCGCGCCCGGCCACCTGTGATATTTTTTTAAATGCACTGTAATGGTCAAGTCAGGATATTTAGGATGGCCATCATCATAAGCATTTATCATTTGTATATTAAGCAGTATTTCTTATTTATTTATGTTTTTTGGGACGGAGTCTTGCTCTGTCTCCCAGGCTGGAGTGCAGTGGCCGGATCTCAGCTCACTGCAAGCTCCGCCTCCCGGGTTCACGCCATTCTCCTGCCTCAGCCTCCCGAGTAGCTGGGACTACAGTTGCCCGCCACCTCACCCGGCTGGTTTTTTGTATTTTTTAGTAGAGATGGGGTTTCACCGTGTTAGCCAGGATGGTCTCGATCTCCTGACCTCGTGATCCGCCCGTCTCGGCCTCCCAAAGTGCTGGGATTACAGGCTTAGTATTTCTTATTTTTTATATAGACAAAGAAATAGAACTCTTTTCTGCAACTTCTGTCCACATCTTCTTTGTGATATTTGGATGCTATTCAAAAAGTAGACATCTTTTTGGAAAGATTTTACTTACTCTTTAAAATTCTTTCGATACCATCAAGTTCTGATCTTTACAGGTGCTGAATTTTTCTGGATTCCTTAGGGCTCTCTGACATATCATGAAATAATTTTAAGTACTTTCTATATAAAAATTGTAAGTGTCACTTGAAGTAGAATTTAAAGAATATTTAGAAGAATACAAAATATCTTTATTTCTATTCTGCTTTTCAATATCATCCTTGACTTTGCATGTAAACATATGGTTTTCCAAAGTTGGGATGGGTGCTGGCTATTCCAGAATGTCTGAGTCAAAAAGGTGAAAAGATAGTTTTGGAAATAGATACAGGTATAAGTTTATTTATTTGTTTATTTAGTGGCAGGGTCTTGCTCTGTTGCTCAGGCTGGAGTGCAGTGGCACAAACTGCAGCCCCAACCTCCTGGGCTCGAGTGATCTTCTTGCTTCAGCCTCCCGAGTGGCTGGGACTATAGGTGCATGCCACTATGTCCAGCTATTATTATTATTATTATTATTTTTTAAGAGAAAGAGTCTCACCATGTTGCCCAGGCTGGTCTTGAACTTCTGGGCGCAAGCAATTCTCCCACCTTAGCTTCCCAAAGTGTTGGGATTATAGGCATGAGCCATCTCATCTGGTCTAAAGTTTTCAAAATTATGAAAAAGAACATACAAGTAGACAATTATACTTTAGTTCACAGTAGAGAGGAAAATGTTTGAAAATTATTCCCATGGGAGGCAGAATAAATAATATTGCTAACTGACAGCACTTCTGCTTTATCTTTTAAAACCCAAATTAAGTAAGCATTAGATTGAATCATTTTGGCCAAGAAAAATGGCAATTTTATTGTCAACCTAACAGTGGCTAAATATGCGGGAAATGTGGAAAACACCAATTTAAAAATTACCAGTGGGGCCAGGTGTGGTGGCTCACACCTATAATCCCAGAAACATTACGGCTGTATTAACAAAACACGTTATGAATACATTAACACAGACATCACATTCATAAAAAAATGTGTCACATCCCAGAATACCAACATGTGTAAAGGTTAGACTGAGGGTTACTGAACAGTGAGTGTCCATCTGATTCATAGCAGAGTGCAATGATACTTCATTTAAAAATTAAAAAATTGAGAAATCTCAATTTTATTGAAAAACACCAGGTAACTTGGTGATTTCATCCCCCAAATCTTATTAAAAAAATCTTTCAGTCCAGCTTGTTTAAAGTTCTGCATTTAGCAGGTATGTTTGAACATATTAGTCAAAAAAGCAAAATTAAACAGACCTCAAGGTGACATTATTTTACACTGAGATATTATACAAATATTTTTTTAGCTCATGGGATATGGCAGCTGAAAGGATTAATTTTAAATTTCAGTCAAACATGTCTAAATTGTAAATAGTAGAAACTGGTTTCTAGATCACTTGAAATCTTTTATTCAGCGGAATAGAGAAACATATTATATCCCTTTAAATGGGGCCAGTGTTGTGCAGAACTGTGAAGTAGGCAATGGTTTTTTTCTAGCTGGTTGCAGGCTCTCCTTTCTATGTTGTTTAGTGTCTACTTCTGTCAAGATCTACTTGAAGAAGAAGATCAGGCTGGGGGCGGTGGCTCACGCCTGTAATCCCAGCACTTTGGAAGGCTGAGATGGGAGGATCACTTGAGGCCAGGAGTTCAAGACCAGCCTGGGTAATGTGGTGAAGCCTTATCGCTACAAGAAAATACAATAATTAGCCAGGCATGTTGGCACATGCCTGCAGTTCCAGCTGCTTGGCAGCCTGAGGTCAGAGGATCACTTGAGCCTGGGAGGTCGAAGCTGCAGTGAGTTGAGATTGCACCACTGCACTCCAGCCTGGGCAACAGAGTGAGACACTGTTTTTTTTTTTTTTTTTTTTTTTTAAGGCTGGGTGCAGTGGTCCACGCCTGTAATTCCATCACTTTGGGAGGCTGAGGCGGGCAGATCACCTGAGGTCAGGAGTTCGAGACCAGCCTGGCCAACATAGTGAAACCAGCTCTACTAAAAATACAAAAATTAGCCAGGCATGGTGGCACATGCCTGTAGTCCCAGCTACTTTAAAGGCTGAGGCAGGAGAATCGCTTGAACTTGGGAGGCCGAGGTTGGAGTGAGCTGAGATCATTGCGGCACTGCACTCCAGCCTGGGTGACAGAGTGAGACTCTTGTCTCAAAAAAAAAAAAAAAAAAAAAAAAAAAGAAAAGAAAGAGGATTAGATAAATTCATTCATGTGGAGTAGAATGTCTGAGGTTTACTTTTTGACCGTTTTCAGAAAAGATTGGTGAAGGCACTAGAAGGTCATGTCATGATTTCACAGAAGGTGAAGGTGCCCTGACTGCTTGGTATTGGGAAAGGTAGGAAGATGGGGTGGGGCATGACATCTACAAGGCTACTGTGAGAGGATGCAGAGCGTAGCAGAGAGTGTACCGTCATACGATGTAATCAGCACTGATCATGAGAGCTGTGGGCTGAGTGCGGGAGCTCATGCCTGTAATCCCAGCACTGGGAGACTCAAAAAAGCCAGAGGATTTTTTGAGTCCAAGAGTTTGAGACCAGCCTGGGCAATGTAGTGAGACCCCATGTCTACAAAAACATAATAATAATGAGAACTATAGTTATTATAAAGAGGAAGAGGGATTCAGTCTATGGCCCCCAAAATAAAAAGAACAGATGAGTGGAAGATCTCAAGGATGCAGATTCCAGTTGGATAGGAGGAAAAACAATATTCAAACAGAGCTTTCTAAAAATTAAATGGGCCATCCCAGGAGAGGACTTTCCAGTCGTTGGTGTGGTTGTATGTAATTCAGATCTGTCACTCCCAAACCAGGCACACGTCAGAAAATCTGGGTGGGGGGCTCGTTAAAAATACTCCAGTGTTTCTGACTTAGTAGGTCTGGATGTGGCTCAGAACCTGTATTTTTATCAGCACCTGGGTTATTCTGAGGCAGCTCGTCCATGAACCAGCATTTGGAAATCACTTGTCCATATGACCACCTGATGAAGACATTATGAAGGGAAGTGAGGTGTTGGGCAGAAGATTGGGGAAAGATTCAATTTCATTTCATTAAATATATTTTTAGAATGTTTTTGGAACACGTGATTCCTATTCTCTTTTCCCATTTTATTAGGAATGTTTTCAAACACACAAAAAGTTGAAAAAATTTTATAGTGAACACCCATATACCCACCACCTAGATTCTCTTATTGACATTTTACTATACTTATTTTGTCACATATATATTGAGATGAAGTTTACATACAATAAAATGTACACACTTGAGTGTGGCGCTTCTATGATTAGGAAGGATGAAAATGTGCTTTGGAGACAAGGTGGGTGGGTGGATGTTGATGAGCAAGTAACAAGATCAATGGCTGGAAAGTTGAGAGAGGTGAGAGGATGTGCAAGGTATGTATCAAATTGGGCTATTGAGGAGGACATTTGAGATGGAGATAAAGTCTATGCTTATTATGATGAATTCTCTATTTGTGAAGTTGCCTATTTGCAAAAATTTCCTTTTTGCAACCACACCAAAGATTGGAAAGTCCTCTCCTGGGTAGGCCCATTGCATTTTTAGGAAGTTCTATTAGAATGTTGTTTTTCTCCCCATCCAACTAGAATCCGCATCCCTGAGATCCTCCAAATCAGTACTTGTGGTGCCTTTGCAGTCATTTGCGGACATGCATAGAGCAATGAAAAATTTGTTGATAAAAATACAGATTCTGAGCCCCATCTAGATCTACTAAGTCAGAAACACTGGAGTATTTTTAACAAGCTTCCCACCCAGATTTTCTGATGTGTACCTGATTTGGGAGTGACAGATCTGAATTACATACAAGTCAAAGATTGGAGAGTCCTCTCCTAGTTCGGCCCATTTCATTTTTAGAAAGCTCTATTAGAATGTTGTTTTTCCTCCCATCCCACTAGAATCTGCATCCCTGAGATCCCCCAAATCAGTACTCATGGTGCCTTTGCAGTTGTTTGTGGATAAGCATAGAGTGATGAAGAATTTGAGTTATCCGACATGAATGTTCCCAGATGATGTTGAATAAGGTAACGCTCTGTCTTCTTATTTCAGCCCTTGTAAATAAGTGTTTTTAAATTTGCAATCTGCTTAGTGCCATATTTTCCACATTTTTGTGCTATTTCCTAGTGATTTTGCTGTTTAAAATGCCTCCTTCCTCCGAAGCTTCGTATTGAAGTGGTGTCCGGTATTCCTAAGCAGAAGGCTGCGAAGTGTCTTACAGAGAAAATATGTGTGTTAGATAAGCATTGTTCAGGTAGGAGTTAAGGTGCTTTAGTTCTCAGTTCAATGTTAATGAATCAATAATATGTTAAATAAGGTTTATTTAAATGAACACATAAAGTAAGTTTATGTCTTGATTGATAGAAACGTTGTGATCAACATTTGCAGGAACCCAACTCTGTATTTCTCCTGGGATCCATGGTTCAGTGTTCCCTAATTCAGTGTTTCCGTTATGTTCAGTAGAACGTAACTACCAATAATAGATTGTAACACCTTGGGTGGGTCAAAGAAATGGATTGGACACTTCAGTGTTTCTCATCTTTGAAGCTCTGATACTTGGAATTTTCTTAGGCGCAGATGTATTTGCAAGAGCACACTGGCAAATCCTAGGCTTTAGAGTGTGACGTTTTGTGGAATAATTAGTCTACTTGTATGAGAAGTTGGCAGGCTAAACATTCCATTTATTTAAACATTCTGCTAAACTAATAATTTGGGGATTATGTTCTTTGATTTCATAGATATTTGTTGTGTGAAAATGTGCTGCATTTCTCTTAAATATAATCCTAGTAGAAGAATGGTTTACATACCCGATCATACCACCTTTTTACTGTGGCTTTATATAGAGATTTGTTTGTTTTCATACCTTTCAAGATTACTTCTTGTCCAGAGCCTGACTCCTGGAGCTGGAATTAGAACTGGGTATGCAGCTTATGAGAAGGGGATAAAGTGATAGTTGTGGAACCAGAGAGATAAATATGTCAGGGAACCTCAGACCTGGCCCCACCTACAGGTGTGTGAGGCCAGAAAGGTGAAGCTGAGCCCAGTGGGGAACAAGCAGCTGAGAGTGTGGATGAAGGTCAAGGTTGAGTTCAGCAATGGACTCCACATCTTTTACTGCAGGCTCCCTCTTTTTGGGCCTGGGACCTAAATGTAGCAGGTCAGAGCTGGACATTCCTAGATATTTTTATTATTTTAACATTAGTAACCAAATATTTGATTATGTGTCTGTTGTGTATGAGATATAAAATACAGACATTACGGACCTTATTTTGAAGGATCGACAATCTGTTTGTGGAGGAAAAGACAAATTACACATAGAGAATAGTAGATAACAAAATAATAGGTAGATGGATATGATATTGTAACCCAAACCCATGATCCCCAGGTTTTTGGGCATGCACCCTGAAAAAGCACCCACTTGTAACTGTTGCATCTTGAGTTGTTTCAAAAAGTTCCAGAGTGAAGCTCAGCTCTAGATGAATAAAAACTGGTTGGGTCCAGAGACCTCTGAGTTGGAGATGAACCTTGTGAACTTTCCTTATTACCGTACTAAAAACCCCACCCAGGGAGGAGCTTATCTGCCATTTCCTATACATGTGACATATGGAGAAGCATGATCAGCTACTTCACCGGCTCTGCCTTTACTCTGCCTCTGCATACAATGGCTCAGCTAACCAGCCTAATGAAAGCTGTTTTCACCATTGTTTGGGAGGTACTGTTTTGGGAAACTGCCCCAGCTGTCCTCCTTACTTGTTGCAGGAAACAAAATCCCTTTGTTTAAATCCTCCTTTGTTGTGGTCTTTGGACTGTCACCCACCAAGTGATAAAACCCACCCATTGTGTGGGTGACAGTATTATCTAAAATTCAATATGTAAATGCTGGAGAAAGGAAGTATCAGAGTGAGGAGACTCCATGGTCTCATTTTGCTAAATGTAGAGCCAGTTTCACACATTTATTTATTTATTTATTTATTTATTTATTTTATTTATTTATTTTTTTTAAGACGGAGTCTCGCTCTGTCGCCCGGGCTGGAGTGCAGTGGCCGGACCTCAGCTCACTGCAAGCTCCGCCTCCCGGGTTCCCGCCATTCTCCTGCCTCAGCCTCCCGAGTAGCTGGGACCACAGGCGCCCGCCACCTTGCCCGGCTAGTTTTTTGTATTTTTAGTAGAGACGGGGTTTCACCGTATTAGCCAGGATGGTCTCGATCTCCTGACCTCGTGATCCGCCCGTCTCGGCCTCCCAAAGTGCTGGGATTACAGGCTTGAGCCACCGCGCCCGGCCCAGTTTCACACATTTAAAAAAATTTTCTGAAAAATAAAAGGTAGAGAATATAAGCTTTAAAAGTTTCATAAAGTTAATCTAAAAATACTTTTATATCTTAAGACTTCGTATGGCCTGTAAGAAAAAGTTTACTGATCCTATGCAAAAAAAAAAAAAAAAATCATGTAAAAAGTGAATCTGCTCCGAAGTCAGAAGTGCTTATTGAATACCCATGCTTTGTCAAGCAACATAGAAGAGGATAAATGTAATATTAATACAGTGTTAAGACTAGGTCTGTTTCCTTAATGTCTACAGTCAAATAAGGGAGAAAAAATATATGAGGAAACATTAAACGTAAAATTTAAGTTGCCCCATATGAGGGTTACAATTTTATGATTTTAAATGAAATAAGTGATGCTACTTAAGATTCTGACTTTATTCCTATAAATGTAATGTCTCTTTTTTTTCTCTGCCTGTCTTAAATATTTTTCCAGCAGTTTGACTATGCAATATATCAGTGTTTTAAATTTTTGTTTTCCTTTTTAAAAAATCTTGCTTATGATTCTCTGGGATTCTTGGCTCTGTGATTTGTTGTTTTTCATTAACTTTGGGAAATTCTTGTCCATTATCTCTTTATGCTTGAACTTCAGTTACACATACGTTAGGCCATTTGATTTGCCCCATAACTCTACTTCTTTTTTTAAAATTATTTCTTTTTATTCTTTTTTCTCTACGTGTTTTAGTTTGGAACTTTCTATTAATCTATCTTTACATTCACTCTGTCCTGTCTGCTAATAAACCTATCAAATGAATTTTTCATCTCTAATAATGTTTTAATTTCTATCATTTCCACTGGACTCTTTTTATAGTTTCTATCACTCTGCTTAAATTTCCTATCTGTTCATGCATGTTGTCTAACTTTTTCACCAGATCATTTAACATAGTGATCACGGTGATTTTAAAGTCTCTGTTCAATAGTTCCAGCATCGAAGTCATCTCTGTGTTTGCGCCTGTTGGTCAATGATTTGACAATAGCATCCTTTATCTTGATTTTTTGTGTGTCTTGTACTTTTCTATTGAATGCTGGACATTGTATGGAGAAGAACTGAAGAGACTGAGTTGAATAGTATTTTTGCCTGGTATGGGCTTACTGCTTTCATGTAAACAGTGTGGAGTTTGAATCCATGTACTTTCGAGTTGAGTTGGGTTTCCATTTTGTTGTTGTTGTTGTTGTTGCTATGGTTATCATCAGTTCATCACAGGCTTCACATCCCTTGGTGATGGCTGCCATTCCTTTGAGCTTAGAGTGGGATCTGGAGTACTGGATGACTTTTCTCAGTGTTCCCGTTCTACCTTGCTTGCCTGAAACACAGAGGGGTCTCTCTTCATGTTTTTGCCCTTCTCAGTGTTAAACTACTGTTGCTTGTTAATTGGTTTTGGGCTTGGGTGGGGGCAGAGGGGACTCTCTCTTGTAATGGCCCAGCCTCAGTCTTAGGCAGGCCGTGTATGCCTGGGCCTCGAAACTGGGGTTTTCTCAGCATTCCTTCATCTACTCTCTATGTCAGCTGGATTGTGCCTTGTATCTGTGGTTGGCCTTAGGTGGGAGAGAATTTTTTTCTCTCTCCTAGCAGTAGCTGACCTGTGTCTGGCATCATTGCAGAGTCCTGGGCCCAAGATTTCCTGCCCAACTCCACAGACAAGGGTGTCTGCTTGAAAGGGTCTTCATCAGTGCCTGTCTCCATCAGCAGCAGATGTGTCTCTGAAGGATGACTCTCAGGTTTCCTGCTGTGGTCCCTGTCTTTGTCTTCAGTATGCGTATCCAGGGGAGGCTCATGAAACTGAGGTTGAAGCTGAGATTGTGAGTGAAAATTCCCCTGTGTCTGGGGCTCCTAGCTATTCCAAATTGACACACCAGCCCACACTTGCCCTGTAAGAATTCATTCAAATTTTGGCTGATTTTTTTCTTACCTAGCTGAATAGTGACCACCTCTGTTTTCCTTGCTCTGCAAAAAGCTTTGTGTGCAATCTCCCTTTAGAAAGCTTGTCCCTCTTTGGAATTCAGGTTACTTGGTTGCGTTAGGACTTCAGCCCTCTGATGGGCTCGAGAATAGTTACAGTTTTGTAGATCATCTGACTCTTTTGTGGTTGTTAGAGTGGGAGCAATATTCTTTTTATGGCACTCATCATCCTAAGTAGCAATGAAACTCTGAGTTTTTTACTTAATGGGTGTGCGTTTGTATTACCGTGCTAATCAAAATGAAATCTATCAACTAGAAAGCACTAAAAGAAACTTGGAGGAGAAACATAGCCATTTTTTTCTCCTTAGTATCTGTAAGGTAGTTGAAATAGTTGAAACAGTATTAAGTGTTAACCTTGAACTTCCCTGAAGCTATTTCTGAATCCAGAGTCCTAATATCTTAAAATTGAAACCCACCCCTGTCCCTCTTCCTTTCTCCCTCCTCCAAAGGAATCAAATGGAATGGAAGGATTGAGGCTGAATGTCTCCCATTGCAAATTGGGCAAAGGCTCTAGAAGCTGGGTAAGCATTGTAGAGACTGAAGGGGGCTCTAGCAGCAACTACAGCAACAGCTGTGTATGTGGGAAGAGGATATCTGGAATTAAGGAACAAAGCAAGAGAAAAGGAGGAGGGACTATTTAAAAAAATAGTGCCTGCATCATTACAGATCAAAGTCAGGCTGGATCTTTATCAGGATCCTATTTTTTGTGTATTTTCTAAAGTTTCACTTTTTAAATTATAAGCACTTTTTACTTATGTAATCAGTAGAAAAGCAATACATTTAAATAAATAAATATGTAAGATCATAATGGAAAAAAATGTATTGGAAAATACAAAATATTTCTGAATGTGTATAGACAAGTTAATTTTCCATGTTTCTTGTGAGATATCTCTTTCTTCTTCTTTAAAGAATTCATCATACATTTGATACTCTTAAGAAGTATCCTATTGTATTCCAGAACTATTATCAA